AGGAATTCCATTATGTAGCCATCCAAAGGTGATAAGTGCACTTTTGGCACAGACTGCATCTATGAAAGAAGACTTTTCATTTTAGCAAGGATGATGAAGTCAGTTGTAAAAGAGAAGAGGAAAAGTCCAGGACAAATCTGAATAGATGGGGACATTACAGAGAGGGCTGGGGTGCAGTTCCGTTGGTATGGTACCTTCCAGGGTGCAGGGAGCCCTGGGTTTGATGCCCAGCAGAGGCTGAGTGTGGTGGTACAAACCTGTAATTTCAATCTTAGAGAGATAGAGGCAGGAGGATCAGAAGTTCAAGGTCATCCTTGGGTAGGTATAGAATTCAAAACAAGCCTGGGGTTTGAGAGACCCTGTCTAAAGACAACCCCAACAAGGACCACACTACAAACCTAAAGCATTGCAGGAGGCGAGAAGTCTTATCCTAGATGAACTTTGTGAAATAAACTTTATGTGTGAGCATGCTTACTGAAATGAAAGGAAATTATTCACAAGTTTTTCTTAAAAATGAACATAACAATCTAAAATACAATGTAAAACTAGAATTTTGTTCTTTTTGTTAAAAAATACAACAATAAATAAAAACCAGGGTCTGAAGAGACAGCTCAGTGTGCAAGAGTGCTTATTGCTCGTCAACAGGGCAAGGCTTCTGTTCCCAGCATCCTCATATGGTGCTCACAACCACCTTTAACTACAGCTCCAGAGGATCTGATGCTGCCCTCCTGGCACCTGCACACACGTGGCACACACATGGACACACACTCACACACATAAATAATATTAAAATATGTCGAAACCAAACCAAGTAAAACACACACGGCTTTGTACTGATGAGATGGCTCAGTGGGTAATGGTGGTTGCCACCAAGTCTGTCACCTGAATTCAAGCCCCAGAACTCGGGGTAGAAGGAGAGAATTGGTGCCTGCAAGTTGTCCCTCCACCCAGGTGCTGAGCACACAACGGTTCCCTACACACAAACGCGCGAACGCGCACACACACACACACACACACACACACACACACTTCTATTGTAATTTTACAATATTGTACAGATACTGTAAAGGAATTTTCTTTGCCATTGGGGTAATTATTATAGGATGTGAAAATCCTGGGTTTTACTGAGATAATTTTCTGTGCTCTGTGATGTCCTTATTAGGTTTTTGTTGACTTAAGATCACACTTTTAACCCCAGCTCTCTAGAGGCTGGGTCAGAGGACCAGGGTGTCCACGTCAACCTAGGACTACACAGTGACACCTCATCTCAAAATATAAACAGTGCCATCCTATGTATTTGCCTTTGAAGTATTGATATCATGTAGGTAAATTAAAGATTGTGCTTTGCTTCAATTAATCTTATTTTGATCAGATGTTGAAAATCTTCACTGTTTCTTTTCTTTTTTTTTTTTTTTTTTTTTTAAAACTAATTTCTCCAAATCAAATGAAATAAGTCTTTTTCTAGATATTTAATTGATTTAGCAACTTTCTAGATGGGTCCTTGGAATATCTCCAAAGAGTGTATCTTTTTATAAAAAATAAGAATTAAACTCATATCTATTAGTTTATTTGATGCATTAAAGTATATGAGAAGTACGATAAAATAATAAATGCAAGATGTGAACACAAGTGATACATTCAAGTACGTGAGACCTGTGAGGATATGATAAGGAATTCAAAATTAATGAGTGGTGTACAGATGGGTGCGTTACTAACTTGTGTTTTGGAAATTGTGTGTAATTCTTAGAAATCTAGTGGGCATAGAATAACACTAGCAGTCACAATTCAAAGTGTTACTTTGTTATTCTGAAGCAGAGCTCACATGTCCCAGGGAAGCTTTGATCTCCATAAGCAGCTGAGGATAATCTTGAGGCTCTGATTCCACCTCCCTCTACTTCCTGAGTGCAGATATGCTTACAGGCATTGTGCGAGGGATAAACCTCAGGCCTTCCTGTGTGCCTGCAAGTACCCACCCCCTGTGCTGCCACCCAGCCTCCACCTGTTTCCTTTATTTGTTATAAGCAAGAGCCAGGCCTAGCCACCCTCCCATAGTCCTAGTTAATCAGGAGGCTGGGGTAAGAAAATCAGCTGAGCCCAGGAGTTCTGGTCATCACGGACAGCCTAGCAACACCCATCTCATAAGGTTTGTATGCAACAGACATAACAAACTTTTCTTGCCAAGTGCATTACTGTTACACAGAACCCTCACAGGAGCTTTCACCATGGCCATCATGGTCTGGACACTTGCAGTTAATGGTTCAGAATGAGAGGGCAATGGCGGAAGGGACACCAAGGTCCACTGGCCCGGATAGGAATTCTCAGCTTCTAATGAAGAAACCAGTGGCTCATAAACACCAAGCTGATGTTTAACCCAGGGCCAACCACAAGAAGAATTAAGTAGCGAGGAAATGACTTGGCATATTTTCGTGCTAAGTTAGTCCGTGGTGAAACTGCAAGCTTTGCAACGTGAAGGAATGCGGTAGATTAGACCCAAGTCCATTTACCTATCAGAATCTATTTAAAATGTAGTACTGGGCCTCTGTGCTTGAGATGATGCAAATTCATTGCTAAGCATGGACCCAGGGAGAGCGTGGATGGCTGCCTGGTGCTGGCTGAGTCCTCAAAGCAGCTAGTATTAAATGCTTCTGTACTCTAAGATACACCATGGCAGGGAAAAAAAAATGATTGATACCATAACAAAACATTGGTGAATGCACATTTTCCCTGGACGGGGCTTCTAACCAGCGTTTGCCTTTGCATCCCACCTTCAGGTAACCTGATAAAGCCCACGTCCTGTACGTCATCAGCGGGATGAGCCTGGCACTCACAGGCTCCAGAAGTGCTCATTTCCTCATGTTCAGTAGCTGCAGTTAAATTAGAAGCTGTGTTTTCCTAGCAGGGTCCTGGAGAAATCCCTGGCCACAGTGGTACCTCTTTCATCACACAAGCCGTGTAAGAGCTAAGCGGGGAACCACAGACGCAAAGGCAGTGAGCCCAATTCCTGGATCACCCGGAGGGCTCAGTCCCAAGCTCTTCCAAGTGATGACAACAGGATCCATTCCCACTGGAGAACATAGACGGAGCCCTTGTGGATAGTCACTGCCAGGCCTCCTCCCTAATGAAGACCTGGGTATCACCTGTTCACATAAAATGTGACATGATCCAGAAGGCAAAGCTTCCGTGCATCAATCCAAAGTGTATTTTCACTAAGACCATCTTCAAGCAGAAAAGGCTTTGGCTTTCTAGACACACACACACACACACACACACACACACACACACAGCTACTGTTGATGCTCTCCCTTTCGTCTCCTTGCAGGAAAGCACAGGGAAATGTTGTCGTCTTTGGATAAACTCTGACTTAAGGAGTGTGCCCTAGTTTCTTAGTCCTGTCCACCTGTTAACTATCCTAACTCCCTCCCTTACCTGCCGGGATCCTGAGAGTCATAGATGTTTCTATGTGCTCAGCCTTCGAACTGCAGGTAAAAGCATGAAGAAGGCATAGAGAGTTACCTGATGAATCTGTTATTGTCCATCATGGATTAGATAACTGGACCAAACTGACCATGACTATGGTCACAGAAAGTGCTGCTGGTACCCAAGACCTCATCCCATTTCAAACCGAGCTGCAGACCCACAAGGAAAGTGGGATGGTTAAATCAGCCTACAGTTGTCCTTGTGTGTAGGAGTCTGCAACCTCAGTACTCCAACACCTGAAGCCCAGCCAAAAGAATATTCTTAGACAAGCAGGTGACAGCCAAGTGCTGAGTCCTTTACAGCTGCACACGGCCCAAAATGTCCGAAGAAGTCGGGTGAGTTGTGCACAGTCGTGTTATTTCCATACACTCTCTGGGTCTATAGACACTGCCTGCCCATATTCCAGAGTGGAGTTTCTCAGCCTTCACTGGCCCTGTCCAGTTCCTGAATTACTTCTTTGTACGAAGAAACTTAAAATCAACACAGGTGATCTTTGCTTTTCAATAGGAGCAGTAACGGAAAGGTTAGCAGCTGTCAGAGGGAACCCTTGGCCCTTTAAGAAAATGTTTCTAATTCACCCACATTTAGAGAACCGCCAATTCTCACTGCACCACGTCTGCTCCAAGGCAAGGTGTGCCCCTTCCCCAGGCAGAAGCCGCCCAAGACTCAGGGTCAGGTGAGCACAGGTGCTCAGCAAGCAGTGAGTTCAAGGGTCAGAGCAGTGGCTCTCACCAGAGCGCTCCCTGATTCTAGAAAGATTTACAGAAGACCTGGCCCACGGGAGGGGGGGTGCCCCTGCTTCCACAGTGACTACTTCTCGGATCTTCCATCCCCACCATCAAAGCCCAGTTCTGATTCCATCTCTGAGGTGCGCAGTTAGCAGACATTACTCCGCAGAAGACTCACTTTCAACTCTCTGAGACCACAATTCCCCGGACAAAGAGAGGTCATCAGAGGAGAAGGCGCTTCTCCCTGTGCACTCTGCTCTGAGAAAAACTCAAGGATCCGAAGGCTCAATTCACATAGGATTATGGTAGAGAGTGAGGCAGCTTCTGGCTTCAGCACCTACCTAACTCTGAGACCTGACAAAAGTCTCCTCCCCTGTGGGGCCTAGTTTTCAGCTGCGAAATTAAATTGTTAGCTGGACGTGGTCAGGGCACAGGGAAGAACTCTCAGGAAGGAACCTTGCTGTGTATTGATCTGGGGTGGGAGGGCCATTGGCACACACCAGCAGAACCCACACACACACACACACACACACACACACACATACACACATACACGCCTTGTACAGAAACCAAGTAAGATTTGTTGCAGTTGCAAAACCCTAGGACAATCAATTTCACGTTTGGTTAGAAATGTACCCATTTTCCTGACCATGAAACCACCGCCCAGGCTGTTTAAATAATGCTGCACACAGGTCACACGAATGTGCAGGTGGTCAAAAGCCTGTCTCCCTGGAAGGGCAGGTCTCCTGCAGGAGGCTTGCACCCAGCCTGGCGGGGCGCAGCCTCAGCTCTCACCATCCCTAGGAAGGCGGCGTTCAGGACCACAGTGGTGAACCAGTGGAGCGCTCTTCCCCCTTGGCCGCTGGACACAGCCCTGAGCCCATTCTTCCCTGGGGTCTCAGCCTGGAGGAGGCGCTGCCCAACAGCCTTGGCCTGGGACCGTTGGGACTCCATTTCCAATCCCAGACTGGCAGTTCCAAACAAGGGGTTTTGCTGTGACCCAGCTCTTTAGCAGGGTCCCTGGAGCTCTGAGCCCCTGTTCCTTGGGACCAGAAGATTCCTCCCAGAGCCTCCTCCCACCAAGGACAATCCTGAGTCAGGGCCTTGGGAAGTTACACTTTGAACTGTGCACGTGGTGCGAGCAGGGGAAACTCAGGCTCATCTGACAAAACTAAGAAGAGCATTTGGCGGACAGGCCTCTCTCAGCAATCAGGAGCCCAGCTTCTTGGGGGAGAGGAAATGTGGTTTCCTGGAAGACCACATGTTCTCATGGCTTCATTCGGTATCCCTCTCACATAAGTGCACACGGGCATCCTGAGGACGTATGCATCAATCTCCTAAGGACGTATATACCGGCCTCCCGAGGAAGTATGCACCGGCCTCCGGAGGCTGACAAAGCTGGAAGCATAGTCTCAGGGGGGCCCAGTCAAGTGGTCTTGGGGACTAGAGAGATGGCTCAGGCATTGAAAGTGCTTGCTGGTTTTTGCAGAGGACTTGAGTTCAATTCCTAGCGTTCCTACTGGGAAGTTCACAACCTACCTTTAACTCTAGCTATAAGGGACCCAGCACACACACACACACACACACACACACACACACACACACACGTTCTTATCTCTTGTGAATACTCAGTGGTACCAACTTCTCTCCAGGCAGCAGAGGGCAGTCCCTAAAGGTATTTGGTCTAAGCATCTCAGTGTATTTTTTTTCCTTTTAAAAAAATGGAAAGAAAAAGAACCAATAGCTATAAGTGACATGTGGCTATTTTCCCCCAAGATGTGAATAATAGCGTGTGTGTGTGTGTGTGTGTGTATGTGTGTGTGTTCAGATGAGAGAAGAAAACACTGTGCTCCAAAAGATAGATTCAAATGCGTGACCACAGAGAGTCCTGGACAAAGACGGTGGATTACAATACTGGAATAAAGACACATGTTGTAGGAATTTAGCAGAGTCGTGGTATATGGAGTAAACTTTAGAGTGAACAGTGTTCCCTGTATCTGGGGTAGACATTATAGTGAAAAGTTCTCACTGTTTCTAGGGTAGACGTTAGAGTGGACGGCGTTCACTGTATTTGGATAAACTTTAGAGTGAACAATTCTCATTGTATCTGGACTAGCCTTTAGAGTGAGCAGTTCTCCCTCTGTCTGGAGTAGGTGACAGAGCGGACAGTATTCAGTGTTTCAGAGCAGACATTAGAATGGATAGTACTCACTGTTTCTCGATTAGGCATTCGATTGAACAGTTCTGGCTGTATCTGGCATAGATCTCACTATATCTGGGGTGCATGTTAGAGTGAACAGTTCTCATTATTTCTGGGTAGATGCAAGAGTGACCAGTTCTTACTGTCTCTGGAGTAGATGTTTGAGTGAACAGTGCTCACTGTATCTGTGCTAGCCTTTAGAGTGAGCAGTGTTCACTGTATCTGGAGTAGACATTCAAATGAACAGTTCTCTCTGTATCTTGGGTAGATGTTAGAGTGAACAGTTCCCATTGTATCTGGTGTAAACTTTAAGAGTGAACAGTTCCTGCTCTCTCTGGAGGAGACGGTAGAGTGAAGAGTTCTCACTTTGTCTGGAGCGACATTAGAATCAACAGTTCTTACTATATATGGAGTAGAAGTTACAGTGAACATTTCTCAGGGTGCCTGGAGTGGATGTTAGAGTGAACATTCTCACTGTATCTGGAGTAGACATTAGAGGGAACAATTTTTACTGTATCTGGAGTAGACGGGAGAGTGGACACATCTCACTTTATCTGGGGTCCATGTTAGAGTGAAGAGTTCTCACTGTGTCTGTAGCAGATCATAGAATGGACAATTCTAAACGTAATCGGAGTAGACAATAGAGTGAACATTTCTCACCGTATCTGGAGGAGACATTAGAGTAAACAATGCGCTCTGCTTTCCGGACCAGGCCGTGCAGGAGGCGCCATCATGGGTGTTGACATCCGCCACAAGAAGGACCGAAAGGTTGGGCGCAAGGAGCCCAAGAGCCAGAACATCTACCTGCGGCTGCTGGTCAAGCTGTACAGGTTTCTGGCCAGGTGAACCAACTCCACCTTCAATCAGGTTGTGCTGAAAAGGTTATTCATGAGTCGCACCAACCGACCACCTCTGTCCCTGTCCCGGATGATCCAAAAGATGAAGCTTCCTGGCCAAGCAAACAAGACAGCTGTGGTTGTGGGGATGGTCAAAGATGACGTGAGGATTCTCGATGTGCCCAAACTGAAGGTGTGTGCACTGCGGGTGAGCAGCCAAGCCCGAAGTCGCATCCTCAAGGCTGGGGGTAAGATCTTCACCTTTGACCAGCTGGCCTTGGAGTCTCCCAAGGACCGTGGCACTGTGCTCCTGTCTGGACCTCGGAAGGGCCGAGAGGTGTACCGGCATTTTGGCAAGGCCCCAGGAACCCCACACAGCCATACCAAACCCTATGTCCGCTCCAAGGGCCGGAAGTTTGAACGTGCCAGAGGCAGAAGGGCCAGCCACGGCTACAAAAACTAACCCTGGATCTTACTGTTATTAAAAAGCTTTGGATGTTGAAAAAAAAAAAACAATGCACTCTGTACCTGTGGTAGACATTAGAGAGGATGGTGTATACTGTGTCTGTGGTAGACATTAGAGAGGACGGTGTGCACTGTGTCTGTGGTAGACATTAGAGAGGACGGTGTGCACTGTGTCTGTGGTAGACATTAGAGTGAAGTAGTTCTTATTATTTCTGGGGGAGATGTTAGTGTGAACAGGGTATGATGTATATGGAATAGATATTAGAATAATCAGTTCTCCCTCTATCTGGAGAAGAAGTTACAGTGAACAGTTCCCACTGTCTCTGGAGTAGAATCAGAATGAACGGTTCTCACTCTATATTTGGTAGCCGTTAGAATGAACAGTTCTGACTGTATATCTGGAGTAGAGTTAAAGGGAACAGTGCTTACTCTATCTGAAGTAGACGATAAAGAGAACAGTCCTCACACTATCTGAGGTAGATGTTAGAGTGAACAATTCTCACTGTATCTGGAGTAGAAGTTAGAGTAAACAGTTCTCACTATATCGCAGTAGACGTTAGAATGACAGTTCTCACTCTATCCGGAGTAGTTGTTTGACTTAACAGCTCTCACTATATCTTTGGTAGATGTTAGTAAAAACAATTTTCATAGTGTCTGGAGTAGACTTTAGAGAGAGCAGTTCTGACTGTATCTGGAGTAGACTTTAGAATGAATAGGTCTCTGTATATGGAGTAGAATTCTCTCTGTATATGGAGAAGACGTTAGAATGAAATCTTCTCAATGTATCTGGAGTAGTCATTTGAGTGAACATTCTCGCTGTATCTGGAGTAGACTTTAGAATGAATAGTTCTCTCTGTATATGGAGTAGACATTTGAGTAAACATTCTCGCTGTATCTGGAGTAGACTTTAGAATGAAACCTTCTCACTGTACATGGAGTAGATGCCTAAGTAAACAGTTCTCACTGTATCTGAAGCAAACATTAGTATGAGAACTTCTCCCTGTGTCTTATTTAGACATTAGAATGAACAGTTCTCGCTGTTTCTGGGGTAATGATTACAGCGAATGGTTGTTCCTAGAAGTACTTTGACCTTGAAGAGTCATAATGGAAAATGGTAAAAAAAAAATTCTTTGTAGAAAACAGGGATGTTTTCCATGATTTGTAGAATTGCTTTCTGAAGGTGCATTGCGGCCTTTGAATGACTTTGGTCACAGAGGCCTTTGGCACACTTGAGGTTCTTAGATTATTATGTATTGCAAATGATACACAATGAAGGAGTGAAGTCATGAGGACATATAGCAAGACATATAGATAAGGAGGACCTAGGTTTGAGGAACTACTTACCCAAAAACCAGCTTTGTGAAGCTATCAATAAAATGCCGTTGTATGGCTGTTGGGGTTCAGTTCATCAGAGGCTGGACCTTCCTGCTGTCACACAGACCTCAAAATTTCATTTTGAAATGACCTCCTTCTTCCACCAACTCACACAGACAAATACCACAACGGTCTGAATGGGGGTCAAGAGATCTGGGGGGAGGGTGACAAAGACAAGAGGAAGACAAGAGGGGGCTGGGGAGAG